CCAGGACAGCCTCCAAAGTTACAGAGAAACCCTGTCTCGAAAAACAAAACAAAATCTGACAAGGAAGTTCGGATGCCACAGGGGTTGAGCTCAGTTCAACCTAACAGCCTAGCTACAAGTACACAGGTTCCTTTTCTTCCCGGTGATGGAAGCACCCGGCGGGCGTTGAGAGCGCGAGCCAGACAGATTTCACGGAGGGCCTGACCTGCACAAACCGGGCGAGCCTGCCAGGCGGGGAAGAGAAAAAAAAAGCCCGGCAACTTGTGATGTCATCTGGATCTGCGCTCGGATAGGCCCTACCCACTTACGCATTGGAGTCTGTAGTAGCCCAGATTGGAGCCTAAGCTGACCTCTCGCGGACATCCAGAGATACGCACTCGAGAAGAAGATAAAATCACCACTCTTAAGCCCTCCTCCCCTTTCCTAGAAGGTCCGCCTTCATCGTGCACCTCGGCTATTGATTTCTTTCCCCTCCCTAGACTCGGCCATCATCTCGCTGGGCCTGGCATTTCCCAGAAGCCCCAGCGCCGGGAAGGAGTTTGCAGCTGCTCGGTCATCGTGCGGCCCGACGCGAGCCCGCGCTGGTGTGCAGGCCCGTCTCTGTGCCTGGTCTCTGGTGTGAGGGTGTAGGCGAGGCCCCTGCCTCGGTCCCCGGACTAGGCCGCGACCCCGGGCGCCATGAAGCAGGAGGGCTCGGCGCGGCGCCGAGGCGCCGACAAGGCAAAGCCGCCGCCGGGAGGGGAACAAGAACCGCCGCCGCCGCCGGCCCCCCAGGATGTGGAGATGAAAGAGGAGGCAGCAGCGGGGAGCGGCTCAACGGGGGAGGCAGACGGCAAGGCAGCCGCCACCGAGCACTCCCAGCGAGAGCTGGACACTGTCACCTTGGAAGGTACGGGAGCCCGCGTCTGGGACATGCCGCGATCACGGGTGACAGCGGCCACGGTGATGCGACTTCTTCCCGGGACCTCCGCGCAGCCTCCACCTACCTCGGTTCCGTGTGTTCGGTCAATGGGGCGGGGGTCGGAAGTGCCCGCCCTGCCGCTCTCGACCCCAGCCGGCGACTGGACCTGTTCTCCAGGCTGCGGATTGCTCTCCTCACACTCCCTCCCTCTTCTCGTCTGGGGTTGCATCTTGGTCCCACCGAGCCTTTTCTTGAGTCCTTCCCAGTGATCTACTCCTTGTACACCCCATCCAACCGATCCTAGCGCCTCCGAAATATTATTGATCCTTAGAAATCAGCGTTTGTATTTGTGTCTAAAGAGGCCGGGGTAACATCACACTGGCCCCTTAGATAAAAGAGTTTCTAAAGGGTTCTGTAGCTCCATCTTCAGCGAACTCCCTAGGAGAACCATTTCTACCCTGCGTTGCTTCCTTACTTCTGTAATTGAAGTAACTAAACCGTCCCGTCGCTCTGTTCCTCCCTCTTGAGGTCCTTACTCCCTCCGTTCCTAAAGAGTTCAAGCACATACACTTTCACTCCTGAATTTGTCTTTTGGTTGTTGTTTGTTTATAGTGCTTACCTGTGGCCTCGATTCCTATAAGCCACCCCCATCCTCAACTTTTTCCTTCCACATGCCAGTTCTCAGGCTCCTATTATCCTCGTGTCCCTCTTAAGTTGCTGTTTTATTTTTCCCATTTGGTCCATCCTGTCCATGTATGAAGTGGGTGGGGTGAGACTTCTCATTGTGATCCTGTGCGGTTTTCCAAGTACGGGAATTTTTCCCCCTCTCTCTCTGCTTAACTACTTCAAAACATGGAGATAAGCAAGTTATGCCCTGCGAGGTACTTTTGAGGATGTGTGTATGTGTATGGACTGCACCAACTCCTACTCTAAAAGTTGGCAACAGGATCTGTATACAGAAAGGTCTTTTTACCTGAAATAAAAGTAGCCAGGGGCGGAGATGTCACTCAGCATTGCGTGTGTGTGTGTGTGTGTGTGTGTGTGTGTGTGTGTGTGTGTGTGTGTGT